CAGAATGATCGACTTCATGGTTTGTGATCGATGATCCTTCCAAATATGCGTAAATTTGAGTAAATTATCATGCAAAAGACAGATACCGCATTAAACTTACATAGAAAAGGGTGTCTGCGTAGGCGTTTGTATAGGACAAGTGTCTAAGAGCCTACTGTTAGATAGTACACAGTTACTGTATGATTACACGTGTAAAACACGTCTCTAAAACTCTGTATTTCTTGGTGTTTGTTAGTTTAGATTGTATACAGGTTTCCCCTTATCTCGAATCAATGTCTTCTTTTATCTGCAGCTTGAACAGGTTGCTCATGTTGATGAACAATGTAAGAACTAGCACTGCACCAGATCTGAATAGAGATGAGCTTGAAGTTGCTCACAGACTCACAGACTCTCACGCATCAATGACAAGGTATTAAACAAAGCTTAAACGAATCGACTCGTAGATTGGAAAGCTATTTCGTCTGATTTTACAAGAACTAAGTGTAAATTCGCCTATATTTACATTTGCTATGCATCCTTCCATTCAGGTGGTGAATTAAATGTCCGGGTAAGAGGATGATTAAATGTCTAGTTTATTTCTCTGGTACCCGTGAGGTCAACGGGTGCTTTCCCTGCCGTTTTGAAAACCGCGCCAAATAAGAAAGCGCGCTAATCACTCCCGAACTATTTGAAGACCCTAGTCAGAGATAAGAGGATTATTAAATGTCGCTAGTCATGGTCCCAACTCCTAGGTCGTATGCAAATTCAATTGCTCATGAATCTACAAACCTATCCGTAAGAAATACTCATTTCAAATTAACCACATACAAAAACAACATCATTCTCCCCTACTTACACACAACCCTTTCCGTAAGAAACAATCATTTAAAAGAAACCACTTACAAATTCACACATTCTCCCATACTTACACACAAACTTATCCGTAAGAAACAATCATTTAAAAGTAACCACATACATATACACACAATCTTCAATACTTACACACAAACCCATCCGTAAGAAACATTCGTTTCAAAGTAACCACCTAAAAATATCATCATTCTCCTATACTTACAAACCTGTCTGTAAGAAACAATCATTCCTGATTAGACTAAAAACAACATCATTTTCCCATACTTACACATACGTTCTCCACATACGTGGTATACATTATTAAAAAAACACCAGGTATTTAATCTCAAAGTAAACAAAAATATTTTAAACAAACTAACAAAACTGTAATAGAATACTAAACATACCAAATCGGTCATATCAAGTAACTCACACGCACAAAACCTTCAGTCTATCCCATAGGGAAAGGGCGGTCTGAGCACCCAACTGGAGCGACGTCGTGAGTCACAATAATAATTGTGAAAAAGGACCACGTGTACGATTTATAGATAGGATTCGTTCATAGTGTGAATGTAAGAAACATTTTATATTTAGATGCTGACGAAAGATCCAAATATATGTTCGTTCATAATGCGCATTGCGATGGTTACAGTCTCCATAGACATTATGAAACACAGTCTTTAACTTATTAAACGTATTGAAAGTTGATAGTCGAACAAGAAGTTTGTTCATTTCATTCAAAGTAATATAGATGTCATGGTGGACGATGAAAAAGGACCACGTGTATAGAGCACACGTGGTGGTTTGCAGACAGGTTGCGTTCATAGTGCGCATGACGATGGTTACAGTCTGCATTAATTATGATGCACAGCAACCACTGAGAAACACTAAACGGCAAAAAAATCAATTCTACGACTTAATCTTTCTAATTTTACCAGTTTACTTCAACTAGCATTGAATTTTACAGAACACAGTCTAAATCATAAATTTATGACCGAACTTAATGACGTAGCATCTTAATAATATATGCATGGACTAACTTAGTGATGTATCATCTAAATCATATCTGCATGGCCCAAATTACGGAAACACTCTCTAAATTAGCGGAGCACCATTTAAATTTAAAAACCATATACTAGTTTTCAGGAACAACAACCAATTTTCAGGAACATAACACCTCATTAAGATTGTGCCTTTGTTCCGAAAACTGGCCATTGGCGCCCGAAAATTAAGTCGTTGTCCCGCTCACTCGCGCAGCGGTATTCCTTTTGATGTAGCCGCGCTCCGGCGAAGCCCGTACAGGTGAAGCAGTCTATAGTCCCTGCCTTGCTGGCCGTGTTGTCAGTATAGCTCTGCAAACACGGCGGCTCTAATTTCGTAATCCAAACGATATAATAACACAGGTCGATAGTACACTTATATTTACTTCGAATAAAATAAATAAAGACCACGGAAATAAATAAGGCTTATTTTGTACTACGGTCAGGGTTAGGATCGAAATGAACGACCATTTGAGAATGATGCATAACTTTTACCGTATTGCTGAACTGGTGCTTTGATACATCACTCCAGAGACACATACAGCTAGTATATACGTCTCTGATCACTCATATAATAATCAAAGACACATTATGAACTCTCAATATTATCGATATTTAATAACGAACGATAAGCACGTCCCGATGTCGTATACAACTTATATTACGTAAACTATATCCCCCGGCTCTGTTCGGTCCGAGGTGCTAATTGTCCAGTATTTATTGATCAATTCGTGCAAATGATGAACCGATTGTGTAAATGTTCATAAACGAACCACTGTATATATATATATGTTAAGACAGTTTACGTTCCTACATTGCTTCATATACCTTTCACTCGTTTTTAGTGTTGTTAATAGTTTTGTGATTTATATAATCCTCTTAGTAAGGGGATTCCCGATCACCTGTCCTCTAAGCTTTTAATTTCTATTGTATTTAACATAAATGTATTTTATTCATATTTGGGTTTTTTTAATCATTACTTATATAATTGTAATAAAATGGAACTTTATCTTTCCTGTACTGTCGTAAGAATATCCCTTCTGAGTTAATGTTTCATGTTATAACATTTAAGGTTTAACTTTCTATTTAGTTTAGGTTATCGGGTGATAAATAATCGGCGAAGCCGATAAAGATAAATTAATTAACCCGGGTTACATTGTAGTTATCACCCGATAACCTAAACTGAATAGAAAGTTAATCCTTATATTAATAGCCTTTTTCTTTACATAAAACGCGTCCTTTTATGTCATCAAAGTAAACGTATGTACATGAACACAAAATCCAGCCGTCCTGTCAGTCAACAACGTGACGTCATCGGAATGTATGAATTTCAACAATGTATATTTACATTTCAACAATGTATCTTTTGCATGAATACACTAATGAGTTACAAATTTGGTATCCGAGGTACTCCAGTTAACTTCCCTAAACAGCAATGTAAACTCCCGGGTTGTTGACACTTCGAGTGATAATGACAATGATCTCCACAAAGGCTTTCATTAGAAAAATTACCATTTAAGTTATGTACACTTATGTGTTTAAAGCGAAATTAGTCATTTCAGAAAGATAATGTCCATCCGTATGTCAGTTATCAAAACTGTATAAAATAAGATGAGAAAAAAATAGAGCGCTATTCTTAACCAGATACGTATATGACAATATATACGACTTTGGTGTATAGTCTAAACAGTTGCTCTCGTCTAACGAACCTGTGATTACTAAAATTTAGAACCTATGAAACTTCTTATCTAAAAGGTAAAGCGCGATACAGTTGTTAAATATATGAATTATCCGAATTAATATTGAATATTGTATTACGTGTCTTCAGGCAGAGACATATAAAACCGTAAGTAGTATATACGTTTCTGCTTCAGGTAAGCCATTACAATGAGAATAATATATATAAAGGTCTTTTGTTTTGGTTTCGTTTATATCATAACCAGAGACCTTCTCTGTATTAACGTAATATATTAGGTATCAGTACATTTCACTCCTAGTTCCAGTAGCATAAGTAATCATTAGCAAATACATATATAGATAAAATAGATCGATTTGTTTTAAAATAGGAACTAATTAAGATGATGATACTAGGATCAATTTAATGACGGAATGTTGACAAAAAATGGCAAAAACAATATTCTGCAAAAAATCAATACGCAGTTTCATATATTTGTATTGTTTTACTAAGACAAGTAGGTAAGCTATTATTTAAGTTTTTAAACCTTTTTTTTTGGGCATGAATATTGACGTCAGTAATTCTTTTCTTTCTGATAAAAGAAAAATTAATAAAAGTTTTAAATAAAATGTTTTGCAACAATCGCTTCGATAAACCTGTGTGGGTGGTTGGTGTGTACAACATATATTGATATACAATCGTAATCGTGCATAGAAACCTTACATGTGGATGTACATTGTATTGGACATGTATGCTCAAATTGTAGGTGTATAAATAAAGCTGTTGGTCTGTATGCACTTTCTAACTAAGCATGGAAGGATAATGAAATTTTATCACTATTTATAAGCGTCAAGGAAAATTCATTTAACTAAGAAACTGTGACAATGTATTATGATAATTATTGTTGTTCATGTTAAAATATAATAGACAAAAGCAAACATTTATTTATAGGCTAATACTGAAATACTTTTTTCCTGCTAACACATTGTTCAAATACTAAAGCGACATTTGTACTGAATTCATTTTTATAAGCGCAAGCATCCTGGTCCTCGCATAATTTTTTGAGTGAAAAAGTGGGTTGATTTGGTATGTAATGTATAAAAAGCTGTATTTGACGATAGGGTATAATTGTACAAGTATGTGCAAAGTGTTGTTGAATGTATAGGTAAGTGGTTGTTATGAAAACAACATTTTGATAAAATAATAAAGATGACCGATCCGTCAGTGTGGACGATGCTAAAGGGCCGCGTGTTTGAAATAATTACAGTTTAGTCCCCGAAGGCATCTCTAATCGCAAATAGCATGGCGGACGCACGTTGTCGGTATAAAGTCTACCAACTTTATCGATTCACCTACTTGAAGCCGACATTCTGTCTTAATTTATGTTGGAACATAACAACAAAATAAGTCAAAATAAATTGTGTATCGTTTTATCATTTTATTCAAAGTAATACACTTTCTCCAGTTCGTCAAAAATTCTATTAACTTGCCAACGTATCTGTGCAGTTAATGGTGATGTTATGACCATGGTGATGAAATGGGCATTCACTAAAACAAATAAGAAACATCGAATATAGCATTGTACCCATTTTCACACATATGAATACAAACTCAAGCAAACAGGAACTACGTTTTCAACGGTTCTGATAGAAGAGCTTTGTTTATACCATGTTCAAAGTTCATACAGGCAGTTATAAAGATCTATACTAAATGATTAATATATTTTAACATAATCAAATGACCAAACAAACTTACTATTAACCATGTTCCTCACAAAATGTTTTTAACGAATCAAAATGTTGTTGTAAGTTTAGTTGAAGCAAATGTTGATCCATTTTATATGAATGAAAAGATTAAGCTAACATACGTATTAACATCTCTTCTAACCTAGCATATTCAAGCCGGTACCAGTTCGTAAGGTAGGCAGTCTTACAAGTTACGTTACACCAGTCACAAATGCCATCGATAATGTTATTCATCCAAAAAGGCAGTATTAAGTGTGTTTTTCTTTCCAAAATATACAAAGATGACATATGACATATGCATATAATTATATACATTAACAAGTTACAAGAAACAATTAACTTAAATGTTCAACGATTCAGATAGAAGAGCTCTGTTTATAACATATTTAAAGTTCATATAGATAATTATAAAGATCTATAACTAACGATTAACATATTTAATCATTCAAATGTACCATTAATCATGTTTCTCTCTTACGAATGTTAACACGTGCTCTATACACGTGGTCTTTTTTCATCGTCCACCACGACATCTATATTACTTTGAATGAAATGAACAAACTTCTATTTCGACTATCAACTTTTAATACGGTTAATAAGTTAAAGACTGTGTTTCATAATGTCTATGGAGACTGTAACCATCGCAAGGCGCATTATGAACAAATCATATCTATTTATTTTTCGTCACTCTCTAATTATGAAATGTTTCTGACATGCGCACTATGAACGAATCCTATCTGTGTATCATAATGTCTTCGGGGATTTATGAATGTAAACATTGCCATGTGCTCTCTACACGTGATCCCTTCTATCTATTAAAGCAGCAGTGTGAGATGTTAGTGAACAGTTTGAGAATTACAATTATTATTGTGACTCACGACGTCGCTCCAGGAGGGTGCACAGACTGCCCTTTCCCTATGGGATAGACTGAAGGTTTTGTGCGTGTGAGTTACTTGATTTTACCGATTTGGAATGTTTAGTATTCTATTACAGTTTAGTTATAGTTTGTTTAAAATATTCTTGTTTACTGTGAGATTAAATATCTGGTAGTTTTTTAATAATTTATACCACGTATGTGGAGAACGTATGTGTAAGTATGGGAAAAATCATGTTGTTTTTAGTCTAATCAGGAATGATTAGTTCTTACGGATAGGTTTGTAAGTATAGGAGAATGATGATACTTTTAGGTGGTTACTTTGAAACGAATGTTTCTTACGGATAGGTTTGTGTATAGGTATGGAAGATTTGTGTATTTGTATGTGGTTACATTTATATGATTGTTTCTTACGGATAGGTTTGTGTGTACAGGAGAATAATGTTGTTTATATGTGGTTACTTTGAAATGAGTGTTTCTAACGGGTAGGTTTGTGTGTAAGTATGGGAGAATGATGTTGTTTTTAGGTGGTTACTATGAAATGATTATTTCTTACGGGTAGGTTTGTGTGTTAGTAAGGGAGAATGATGTTGTTTTTAGGTGGTTACTATGAAATGATTATTTCTTACGGATAGGTTTGTGTGTAGGTGGTTACTTTGAAATGATTGTTTCTTACGGGTAGGTTTGTGTGTAAGTAAGGGAGAATGATGTTGTGTTTAGGTGGTTACTATGAAATGATTATTTCTTACGGATAGGTTTGTGTGTAAGGGAGAATGATGTTGTTTTTAGGTGGTTACTATGAAATGATTGTTTCTTACGGATAGGTTTGTGTGTAAGTATGGGAGAATGATGTTGTTTTTAGGTGGTTACTATGAAATGATTATTTCTTACGGATAGGTTTATGTGTATGGGAGATTGATGTTGTTTTGAGGTGGTTAATTTGAAATGAGAGTTTCTTACGGGTAGGTTTGTAAGTATGGGAGAATGATGTTGCCCGGCCATTTAATCACCACCTGAAACGTCGTCGTACGTTTTGAGTTTTTTTTAGGGAGGGACCGGTGGGGGGTGAGGCAGTTACCCCATCCGTTTACCTCTACTGTCTTACTGAAAAGCTTACCTAAATCCCTAACTTATTAAGGTTGTCATCAATAGCAACGTGTGTTATAGGACCATAATAACACTTGCTAAAACATTCAATGCTTAAATAGCGTAGTCTAATCGACGGCAACTTTATTATAACCAAATCGTACGTATTTTAAATTTTGTTTACATACAATTTACTGGTGTTAATTGGGAATATGATAGAGTGCACATCGTTCTAGTCATCTCAACGTCACACATAATCTCCATGTAAACATTTACTGGCTAAATGGTCCTGTATACAACTTGTACATACCAGAGAGTACATTGTGTGACAACATGCAAACTTAGTATGTACGCCAGGCGCTTTAAAAGAAAATAAATTCAATTGATTTCCATGGTATGTGGTTAATTTGAAATGGGTGTTTCTTACAGGTTTGTTTGTAAGTATGGGAGAATGATGTTGTTTTTGTATGTGGTTAATTTGAAATGAGTATTTCTTACAGGTTTGTTTGTAAGTTTGATTCATGAGCGATTGAATACAACCCAGGAGTTGGGACCATGACTAACGGCATTTAATAGTCCCCTTATCTCTGACTAGGGTCTTCAAATAGTTCGGGAAATGTTTAGCGCGCTTTCTTATTTGACGCGGTTTTCAAAATGGCAGAGAAAGCACCCGGTGACCTCAAGGGTTCCAGAAAAATAAACTAGACATTTGATAATTCTCTTACCCGGACATTTAAATCACCACCTGAAACGTCGTCGTACGTTTTGAGTTTTTTTTAGGGAGGGACCGGTGGGGGGTGAGGCAGTTACCCCATCCGTTTACCTCTACTGTCTTACTGAAAAGCTTACCTAAATCCCTAACTTATTAAGGTTGTCATCAATAGCAACGTGTGTTATAGGACCATAATAACACTTGCTAAAACATTCAATGCTTAAATAGCGTAGTCTAATCGACGGCAACTTTATTATAACCAAATCGTACGTATTTTAAATTTTGTTTACATACAATTTACTGGTGTTAATTGGGAATATGACAGAGTGCACATCGTTCTAGTCATCTCAACGTCACACATAATCTCCATGTAAACATTTACTGGCTAAATGGTCCTGTATACAACTTGTACATACCAGAGAGTACATTGTGTGACAACATGCAAACTTAGTATGTACGCCAGGCGCTTTAAAAGAAAATAAATTCAATTGATTTCCATAAGTTTTACAACCTATTAGATATACAATTAATGTTTAAAGAGTAGTTACAATGATCAAGGACTCTGGTCAATCACAACGGTATATCTTAACCGAGTTTTACTGAATTGTAAATTGTGTTATAGACGTGTAAACATGGTGTTGGGGCGAGGACTTGCGTTTGTTGTTGATCTATATATCTATATATGTCATCACGAATACCAGCGTCACCTATAGAGGACGAGGAAGTTCGTTCGTTTCGCAAAGTAATCGGCAATGCAGAAAACGTAATATGTTGCTCCTCTCAACCACTTTAACGAGTGGAGATTTTAATAAGATATTTTTAATTCACACAATAGAAACAAATGATTATCTTTAGAATGTCATTTGCTTACTGCCAGGTTATTGTCAGATTCAAACAAATTTAAATAAAGTTATATCTTCTTTTTATTATCTGTCCCAGTTTTGATATTACTCACATTAATTGTTTTTTTCATGGTTGTATCTATATTGCATATAAATTCAACATGCATGTCATAGGTGATAAAAAAGGATGATGCAGGGAAACCTCGTGCTGCTGAGTCAATGGTAACAAATGTGCTCTGTGTCGCATGGTGAGCCAAGACACATTTTCTTCTGACTTGGATATAATTTCAAAAAGAAACGACCTCGTGGACTTCTCGGGGACAAACTCATGAAAAAGTAATTTAGAACGGAATTAGATATCGTCCCTGTGAGGGAGGATAGATCATCCCAATAGCCAGTAGAATCCTTCCACTCTCCACAACGAGGCTCGCCGATATTCCAATCAATAGTAGCACCATGTGTAGCATTGTAATCTGTCAGTAGCTGGCCTCAGTAGCTTTGGTCCGGAACCAGTTTCCAATGATGAAAATGAACCCCAAAAGACGTTAAAAACGTACTCCCCCGTTTCAGTCGTACAGAACTTATCGCAGTTCCTTTTCTTAACAGTTGTTTGTAGTTCCGTTTTATCAACCGTCAATATCCCTGTATGGGAACAATAAATCAACTTTCCGTAAATTCAGAAGGTGGTCAGTCAGCGGTCCCAGTTTGCGTCATTGTTATCTGTTATTCCTGTTTGATCCACTGCCAGAAGCTACATTTTTTGTTGTTATCCGTAATTCCATAATGTTACTACAATTTTAAGCTATCAGTAGTTCCAGTTTTTTATTCTGTCCGTAATTTCATTTCTGGTTTTTAATTGGCCTACTGTAAATCCGGGTTTTGGTCATCTGTTCACTATTCTGGTTTGCGATCATTTCAGTTTTGAATCAGCTGTCCGTAATTCAAAATTTTGGTCAGCTCTTATAAGCATATATTAGAGTATCCTGCTTTACTCTTACTAGTGTAAAATGTATGTATTTATCGGCTAGATCATAAAAAATCACTCTTCTGCTCTAGTCTATACACAGGCTAGGGGAGGTAACTCCCATATCTCTATCACTTTAACTATCGACTTGTTTTTTCTAACATGGTGTCCTCTCTGTTGTTGCCATCCTCAAACGTTCGTCGTTAGCCATATTGTGCCTTCCTGAGTGTCATCTAGTAGCTCTTTGTTGTACTTTTTCACAATAGACTGATGTGCTGTTGCTGCTGCTGTTGATAAGGGTTACACACGCTTTCTCCATAAACCA